CATCAGAGGACGGTGTTAACTTTCTGCTCTCTACTGGCTAGAAGACTTATTCTTCTTCGATGGAAGGATCCACATCCTCCAGTATATGGTCATTGGTTAAGAGAAGTTATGTCTTACATTCATTTAGAGAAGATTAGATATACTGTCAGGGGATCTGTAAAAAAATTTTGACATTTGGCAGCCATTTATATCTTACGTAGAAAAAATTTCGGCAGATAATTTTGTGTAAAGGTTAAATATTGATTCATTATACACAAACCTGTTCATTGTATCACTTGATGAATACTAGATCGATTTTTGTTATTTCAGTGGATCCGGTATAGGAGGGGAGGGATTTTGGGTGTGTGTGTTTTGTTTTGTGTTTTTGTAAGTCTTTTCTTTTTTGTGGTTTGTTAAAAAATATATATTAATAAAAAGACCTTGATCAAAAAAAAAAAAAAACTGACCCAAGAACATTATGGTTGTTCCTCAGAAACAAACTTAATAGGAGGGTTAAGAACCTCCTACTGTTTTTGATATTCCCACTTCAGCACATTTTCAAACAATGGAGGGATGCTCTGTGGGGCAGGAGCTCAGTTGCAAACTGAGCTCTAGGGAAGGTGCTATGTACAAAGGCTATACCAGAAAGTGTTTAGGCAGCTCCACATGTCTATAACAGGAGAAATATGGGGATTTCTAAATGGTCGAGGCAACTATCTGGTTATGTTTTTGATAAGGGAATGACATGAAGCTCAAAAGTGTAGATTTTACATAATAGCCCGCTTTAAACCTCATTACCCACAAGCCATTGGTTGAAAACAGGAAGTTATGACTCTACAATGCTTTTTGGGGCATTGGGCCAAATACAGGAGATTGAGTGATTCATGACTCATGGAAGAATGATTGATAAAAAAAAAATAAAAATATTAGCACAAGGAACCAATCAGAAGTAAGGCTGGGCAAGTGTCCAAATGTCTGGAATCTGGCAAAACCTTCATTTTGACTGGCAGTGAATGCAACTCCCAATGTTTAAAAAACTAAATTTGCAGCAGCACACCTTCAAGTGTTTGATGGCTTGTTCAGTAACCAGCTCTTCCTTCTTGTTCCACTCAACGGAGTACATCACACTGGTCCAGATGATGCTGATCATGGCCTGTTCAGAAAGGCTGGCCTTTTTCATCTCCTCTCTGGTGAAAGCAATGATCTGAGAGACAAACGCCATGTTTCTGCTATTAGAAAAACATTTTTCTCTGATAAGCTTGCCTTTATGGAGAACTGAAACAGATATAATCAGAAATAAAAACAGAAATACACTACTCAAAAAATAAAGGGAACACTCAAATAACGCATCCTAGATCTGAAAGAATGAAATATTCTCATTGAATACTTTGTTCTGTACAAAGTTAAATGTGCTGACAACAAAATCACAAAAATCATCAATGGAAATCCAATTTATTAATCAATTACAAGCACTCGGAGAGTGCAAACCTCCTCCAAAACCAATTTCCTCCATCCTGTAATAGAGTTACAAAGGAGCACACCAATATTACAGTGCCACCTGCTGGACACTTTGAAACCCATGCCATGTGAAAGCATCACAGCTTTGCCGATCTCAAGAGTGTTAAAAGAAAAAAATTCCTGTATCCGCATCGTGATCTGGAACATCACCAAAATTTAAAAGTGTTTTACTTGAGCCAGTATCCACTAGGGGTGTAAGAAAATATCGATACACTGAAATATCGTGATATTTCATTTCCCGATACTGTATCGATATTCTAAAGCCCTGTATCGATTTTTAATTAATGTTTAAAATGTCAACCTTCTTGCCAACCGTACATTTTTATGTTGTAGTTCAGCCTCTAACCACTAGTTGGCAGCAGTGAGCCAGCCATTTGGCTCCTCTACCTCTTGAGCACCAGAGAGTAAGGGTAGCATTAACATTGTAAGTAAACATTAGCTTTTCTTTTTTTTTCTTTTCAGTAAGAGTTTTTATTTAATAGAATTTTTGGACAAAATAATCGCAATATATTGCCTTGCTTACAGTATCGCAATATATCGGGATATATCGTATCATGACCTCTGTGTTATGATATGTATCATATATGTATGATATGTATCGCCAAATTCTTGCCAATACACAGCCCTAGATCCGCGTGGTAAAAATGTCATGACAATCCATCCACAAGTTTTTGAGTAATGTTGTCCACAGACAAAACAACAGAATGACAGAACGACAGACAGACATACGCGACCGAAAACATTACCTCGCCCTTGGCGGAGGTAATGAAGGCGTGGATTTACCGTCACACACAAAATTAAAGTGGAGATCACACAGGCTAATCCGACCTTGATGTAATGTCCTTAAAACAAGTCAAAATGAGGCTCAGTATTGTGTATAGCCTCCACGTGCGTGTATGACCTCCCTACAATGCCTGGGCATGCTCTTGATGAGGTGGCGAATGGTCTCCTGAGGGATCTCCTCCCAGACCTGGACTAAAGCATCCACTAACTCTTGGACAGTCTGTGGTGCAACGTGACCACAGATAGGGCTGCCACAAACGATTATTTTTATAGTCGACTAATCACCAATTTTTTTTCCCGATCAGTCGACTAATGGATCATACGTTAATTGAATATAAAACATACAGCTTATCGCGCCAGAATGCAGCTGCTATTATATAACCATCATTAGATTTTAGCTATATGCTAACTAAAAATAATTGCCATGGAAGGCAAATTCTGCCTTGCATTGCACAGGTTTCTCTTTCATGTTCTTAAAATGATCCCACACTTTTGAGCTCCGTTGCCAGGTAACCATGATACCAGAGCCTGTCTGTATAATGTCTTGTGACATCCACAACCTACCCGGTTACCACCACTATTGCGCAAGTGTGTCAAGGACAGAAAGGCAGATGCGGCAGTGGGAGGTGTCAAAGCAATTTGGAGAGAAAAACAAACTTAAAAAAACAGACTAATCGACTATTAAACTAGTCGTTGACTATTTTAGTAGTTGATTATTCATCGACTAAGCATGGCAGTCCTAACCACAGACTGGTTGGTGGATGGAGCGAGACAAGATGTCCCAGATGTGTTCAATCAGATTCAGGTCTGGGAATGGGAGGACCAGTCCATAGCTTCAATGCCTTCATCTTGCAGGAACTGCTGGCACACTCCAGCCACAAGAGGTCTAGCATCGTCCTGCATTAGGAGGAACCCAGGGCCAACCGCAACAGTATATGGTCTCACAAGGGGTCTGTGGATCTCATCTCGGTACCTAACAGCAATCAGGCTACCTCTGGCGAGCACACAGCCCTCCAAAGAAATGCCACCCCACACCATTACTGACCCACGGCAATACCGGTCATGCTGAAGGCAGCAGATCACTCTCTACGGCATCTCCAGACTCTGTCACATGTGCTCAGTGTGAACCTACTCGCTCTGTAAAGAGCACAGGGCACCATTGACGAATTTGCCAATCCTGGTGTTCTCCGGCAAATGCCAAGCATCCTGCATAGTGTTAGGCTCTGAGCACAACCCCCATCTGTGGACGTCTGGCCCTCATACTATCCTCATGGAGTCAGTTTCTAACCGTTAGTGCAGACAAATGCACGTTTGTGTCCTGCTGGAGGTCATTTTGCAGTGCTCTGGCAGTGCTACTCCTGTTCCTCCTTGTGCAAAGGTGGAGATAGCAGTCCTGCTGCTGGGTTGTTGCCCTCCTACAGTCTCCTCCACGTCTCCTGATGGCGCCTCCAGCCTTTGGACACTACGCTGACAGACACAGCAAACCTTCTCGCCACAGCTCGCATTAATGTGCCATCCTGGATGAGCTGCATTACCTGAGCCACTTGTGTGGGTTGTAGAATCCGTCTAATGCTACCATGAGTGTGAAAGCACCACCAACATTCAAACGTGACCAAAACATCAGCCAGAAAGCAAAGGTACGAAGAAGTGGTCTGTGGTCCCCACATGCAGAACCACTCCTCCTTTGTGTCTTGCTAATTGCCAATAATTTCTACCTGTTGTCTATTCCATTTGCACAACAGCATGTGAAACTGATTGTCAATCGGTGTTGCTTCCTTAGTGGACAGTTTGATTTCACAGAAGTTTGATTTACTTGTGTTATTTAAGTGTTCCCTTTATTTTTTGAGCAGTGTATATAAATGGACCGATAAATACATAAATAATTTTAAAAATGTACCAATTAATAAAAGGAGAACTTCATCTCATGTTTTATAATTTAAGTGACCTTCATATTAATTTTCCAGTTTAGCTCCAACAAATGATATATTTTAGCACATAATTTAAATTTTACTGTTTTTTTACTGTCTCTACTATTGGTAAATAGACAGGAAGAAGCAGGAGCTGACCCAAGAAGGGCAGCCCACCTTATTTGCATAATGATGCAGAAATGAATAAGGTTAAGTAAAAAAAACAGGAGACAGAAAAGTGTAAAAGAAACACATGGAAATAAAGACATGTGAGGAAAAAACTATTTAAAAAATAAAAACATTTTATAGAGACAAATTCATGTACAAGTAAAAGGAAAAACAAAAAATATAGAATGTTTTAAAACAGTAAAGTTTAAGTTATTTGTTAAAATATGGATTTGTTAGAACTAAGCTAGAAAAATAAATATAAAAAGGCCAATTAAATTATAAAACAAGATCTCCTTTACAATTAATTGGTGCATTTTGAGTGGATTCATTTATTGGTCCTAGGCATGGGACGGTATGAAATTATGACGGTATGATAACCTTGGGCAAAAATATCACGATTTCGCTGTATGACGGTATTATGATTACAGCTCTAAAAATTTTGTTTTGAAATTTGTATTTAAAACAAAAAAAGAAAACATCTTTTCTATTATCCTATTCAACAGGTGTTATGCTGAAATTTCATTTACCTGTGTGCATCTGTACTTGTGATTTTAAGCACATAATCCAATTAGGTTATCTTGATAAAGTTTACATCTAAAAAGATAACTGCTTTTCTACGGCTTTACTTGTTAAGACAAATCAGTGTATACTGCACGACAAGTCTTTTTATTGAAGTAATATATCACGTTGGGAGTTTTTACTGTATTTTAAATTAGAGATGTCCCGATCCAGATTTTTTGGCTCCCAATACAATCTGATTTTTTTAATGATTAGTATTTCCGATACCGATCCGATAGCTTTATTTCTTTCCAAGTGACAAGGTTGGTAGTAGTAACAGCAGCGAGCCCTACTGTTCCCACCACAAGAAACATACAGTTTGCAGATTTTGCAAGATGCAGTTTCAGCATCATTGTTTTCCATTGGACAGTGTTCCCACGCTGTGGACATGGTTGCATGCTTGTGTGTGTTGACTCCTTAATGGCAGTTGTAAAGCATGATGATACTGAAAACTGTTGCGAAAACTGGATCGGTCCGATCACGACTAAAATCTGCCACCAATACCAATACTGAGTATCTGATCGGGACATCCCTATTTTAAACGACAACGCGTTTAACATAAAGATTATATAATTACACGCACACTGAAACAAGAAATCACAACTATGAATGTGTGTTTAAGAAATGCACGTTCAGCTAACGATCTGCTCGGTTAAAGGAGGCAATTTAATCGCCGTTCACTTAAAACTTACCAATCCAGCAACTCATTTTTGCAGACAAGCTGTGACCGACGCATTGAGCCACAGTAATACTGTGATATGTTTGACAATGATGCTACAGTTACAGTAGGGAGAACAAGTATTTGAAACACTGTTGATTTTTCAGGTTTTCCCACTTGCAAAGCTTGTAGATGACTGTAATTTTTATCATAGGTACTCTTCAACTGTGAGTGATGGAATCTAAAACAAAAATCCAGAAAAACTACAATGTATGATTTTAAATTATTAATTTCCATTCCATTTCATTCAGCTGCTCCACGCCTCTTTTGGATCAGCGCTGCGGGTTCATTATGAACAGGTTTACGTGAGCGGGACCTGCCCGCCTTCACC